GAAGGTATTAAACTGATCAGAACAATACTAAACACACCACTCCTATCTGGTGGCACATTAGCTTGACCGCGCAGTGCCCCAAATTTGAATTAAGAGGACCGACCAAGCATCTTCTTCCATCCCCCTGTTACAGAAATCACTGCCATATCCATACAAATTGTACAGAATGTCCAGGATAGTTTTCCAGGGACAAATGTTGTCGCCTGTTGAACGAGGTGACCTTGCTCGGGTCCCAGGTGTACGGTTCCTAAAATGGCTGCCATATACACGCCCACTGATCGGAGACGCGGAAGGTATTAAACTGATCAGAACAATACTAAACACACCACTAATAAGGTTTCTCTCCTGTATGGCTCCTCAAATGATGCTTAAGAATAGAAGCGGCTGAAAAGCATTTCTCACACTCCGAACAAAAATATTTTTTTAACATTCCTCTCCACTTTGAACTAAATGACGCTTTGGGAAGAGATTAACATACTAAACACAGGTAAAAATACAGTTTTAGCCATACCCTGTAACTTTAAAACTACACATCCCATCTCATAATTATATTATTTGGAATCAGCACACTTAAAACATAAACATAACCAAAAATCAGCCAAATCCATCCAGGGTTAAAAAGTTAGCTGGAGTGGGGTCCCTTTATGACCGGACCCATGATTTCCCTTTTCCTGCCCAAAACAGTTCCATAGATTTGGGCTGTGAGGTCGGTCTATTTCAGGCTGAAAAAACGACTAAGTCCCATCGCCAATGGGACTTAGTCTCTGCAGCTGAAATAAGGCTGAAAAAAACGGCTGAAAAAAAGACTAAGTCCCATCGCCGAATGGGACTTAGTCTCTGCAGCTGAAATAAGGCTGAAGAAAAGACTAAGTCCCATCGCCGAATGGGACTTAGTCTCTGCAGCTGAAATAAGGCTGAAAAAAACGGCTGAAAAAAAGACTAAGTCCCATCACAATGGGACTTGAAGTCTCTGCAGCTGAAATAAGGCTGAAAAAACGGGTTGAAAAGACTAAGTCCCATCACCAATGGGACTTTAGCGTCTCTGCAGCTGAAATACAAGGCTGAAAAAACGACTAAGTCCCATCGCCGAATGGGACTTAGTCTCTGCAGCTGAAATAAGGCTGAAAAAAAACGGCTGAAAAAAAGACTAAGTCCCATCGCCGAATGGGACTTAGTCTCTGCAGTTGAAATAATTTCCCATTTACTGAACCAAGTGGGAAATAGCAAGGCAGGCACAAAGGGTTTGCACCAGGTCTGGGGACACAGGGGACACCGTCTTAAAGGGGCCGTGTCCCCAACAGTCTGGGGACACGGCCTTAAAGGGGCAGTGTCCCAATCTTCCTGATGTCCCAAAAAAGGTGTTTAAAGGGCCAGTACCAGTCACATAAAGAGTCCATAAGCCCCAATATGCCCACTGACAGTCTTAAAGGCCATACACACCAAATAAAAGTGCATACATTTTCACAATCTCCCAGGGGCCATAGTCATGCGGGAGGAGGCTGGCAAATAGGCTTTTCCACAACCCAGGGAAGCAGGTCAATTTGCCATTTAAAGGGCCCTGCTATGTAAAGCAGTTGTAAATAAGGTGTCAATCCATATCTGCCAAGTGACTGGCTGTAGGGACCATCCCTATTCTGCTCTGGTGTCAGTGTGTACCAGGGAACCTTAGGACAGGCGTCAATCCATATCTGCCATGGACCCGGCTGTAGAAACAGTCCCTATCTCCCCTGCTCTGTGTCAGTGTGTATCAGGGACTTTAGGACAGGTGTCAATCCATATCTGCCAAGTGACCCCATGTAGGGACCAGTCTCCCCATTCTGCTCTTGTGTCCGTGTGCATCAGGGGCCTTGAGGACAGGTGTCAATCCATATGTCAAGGTGTCACATGTCATATGTCAGGTGTCAATCCATATTGATTGTGATTTAGGAATGTTAGGTGATTTCAGCCCTTTATGGATTAAAACCAGACTCTGTATCAACTGTGTAATTTTCCATGGGAGTTTTGCCATGGATCCCCCTCCGGCATGCCACAGTCCAGGTGTTAGTCCCCTTGAAACAACTTTTCCATCCCTATTGTGGCCAGAAAGAGTCCCTGTGTGTTTTAAAATTCGCCTCCCCATTGAAGTCAATGACGTTTCGGGCGGTTCGCCGGTTCGCGAACATTTGCGGAAGTTCGCGTTCGCCGTTCGGGAACCGAAAATTTCGGGTTCGCGACATCGCTATTGAATGGGTAAGGCAGTGGCTGAGTGACAGGCAACAGAGGATTGTAGTTAATGGAATATATTCAAAGCTTGGGGTACCTCAGGTATCTGTACTTGCAGTAGAAAGAGGGAAGTGCTCATGCCATTGTACAGAACACTGGCGAGACCTCACTTGGAGTATTGTACACAGTACTGGAGACCGTATCTTCAGAAGGATATTGATACCTTAGAGAGGGTTCAGAGAAGGGCTACTAAACTGGTTCATGGATTGCGGGATAAAACTTACCAAGAAAGGTTAAAGGATCTTAACATGTATAGTTTGGAGGAAAGACGAGACAGGGGGGATATGATAGAAACATTTAAATATATAAAGGGAATCAACACAGTAAAGGAGGAGACTATATTTAAAAGAAGAAAAACTACCACAATAAGAGGACATAGTCTTAAATTAGAGGGACAAAGGTTTAAAAATAATATTAGGAAGTATTACTTTACTGACAGGGTAGTGGATGCATGGAATAGCCTTCCAGCTGAAGTGGTAGAGGTTAACACAGTAAAGGAGTTTAAGCATGCGTGGGATAGGCATAAGGCTATCCTAACTATAAGATATAAATCACTGGTAAGACCCCATATTGAATATGCTGTGCAATTTTGGGCACCTGTTCTAAAGAAGGATATTATGGCACTAGAAAAAGTGCAGAGGCTGGCTACAAAATTAATAAAAGGAATGGAACATATCAGCTATGAAGAAAGGTTAACAAATTTAAACCTATTTAGTTTAGAAAAACGTCGCCTGAGAGGGTATATGATAACATTATACAAATATATTCGGGGCCAATACAAACCATTGTGTGGAAATCTATTCACAAGCCGGACTTTACATAGGACACGAGGCCATGCGTTTAGACTGGAAGAAAGAAGATTTCGCCTAAGGCAAAGGAAAGGTTTTTTTACTGTAAGAACAATCAGGATGTGGAATTCTCTGCCTGAGGAAGTGGTTTCATCAGAGTCCATACAGATGTTCAAACGGCTACTAGATGCATACTTGCAAGAACAGAATATTCAAGGATATAATCTTTCAATGTAGGGTAATAACCGCTTGATCCAAGGATAAATCTGACTGCCATTCTGGGGTCAAGAAGGAATTTTTTTCCTAGCTTGTTGCAAAATTGTGCTTCAAACTGGGTTTTTTTTGCCTTCTTTTGGATCAACAGCAAAAAACAAATGTGAGGAAGGCTGAACTTGATGGACGCAAGTCTCTTTTCAGCTATGTAACTATGTAACTATGTAACTATGTAATAAGGCTAGGTTCTAATGAAAGTATTTAGAAAATTGGGTAGACTAGATGGGCCGAATGGTTCTTATCTGCCGTCACATTCTATGTTTCTATGTTTCACCTGTAGAACAGCTTTATAACCCATTGACAAGCAAAAATTCTTTAGTGAACAAAAAACCCTGAGAATAAATACAGTATCTGCAAACAAACATTACCAATGTACAATAAAAAAAACAAAGAAAAATATGCAAAATTGCCCCAAAAATAAAATAAAGAAAAAACAAAAACAAAAAAAGGGTTTCCTATTAAGGGTTAATAAGTATGCATAAGTTTAGAAAAATACCCCTCTCTTGCACATTACATATTTCTTTGCCTGAAGCTGAAGGAAGCCAGGTGAATTGTTATTGTAGGACCCACCTAAGAGTGTTGCCTTTACGTGGCAGGTGGGCTTGCATCTAATGGCCATTGGAGTAACTAAATAACCTCCATTTATTATAAGCATATGGATTTGGGCTAGTGTGCAGGTAACGTTTGTTTCTTTGGTTTTTATTTTATGTATTGGTGCTAATGGGTACTATGTGTAACGAGAATATACCCCTACATGCAGGATCCAGCTAAACAGAGGCAAATACAGAGGAGAGATACGTCTACCGGACCTTAGAATGGCCGGACTCGACGTATATGAGAGGAGACAGAGCCAGGAACAAACCGAGGTCAAGGGCACAGAGAGA